TAGGTCGCTCTGGAAGGTGTAATTCAACGTAGTGTAGTCAAAGTAAGAAGCAAGGGCCGTAACTTTCAGAGTACCTCCATGAACAGCCCCGAAACCCTAGATCCTGAACCCAACCTCGGGAATGGCGATGCATAGCCCGTAAGCATTGATATCGCTATATAGTGTTATATTATATACTACGTGGCAGCTTGGGAAATTTCAATTTCCCCTATTATCGTTTCCATAGAGGTACCTATTCACAAATACTTTCAAGAGCCCCTAAACTACAACCCAGTATAACTAGGGGTACCTGGTTCTGGGGGCCTGATAATAAGCATCCTATGATTTCGGGTACTATGTCGTGAGGGTCCCCTATGTTCGGAAACTCCCATATATGCCCTACCGTGATCTCCCTGCAGATGGCCCCTTTAAGGGTTCCTTTAAGGTGTCTATAGGGATTCGTGTTTTAGGATTTTGGGGTTTAGGGTTTTAGGGTTTAGTGGTCTGGGGATCAAAAGAGCCCAAGCAGATAGAACCCTTATAGATCCCTTATAGTAACCCTTATAGACCCCTTTAAAGGGACCCGATTCTATCCACCGGAGCTCCTAGCAGAGCGAGGCGAAGCTGAAGATGGTCGCAGCCCGTGGCCCCTGAGTGCAGAGGATGCGCAGTCCCTGCAGCAGGTGGGTGCTCTGGGCTTTCAGGGTTCTTTGGGGGTTCCTTTACGAGTTCCTTTTAGGGTTCCTTTGAAGGGTTCCTTTAAAGGGTTCCTTTATGGGTTCCTTTAGGGGTTCTTTGAGGGTTCCTTTAAAGGGTTCCTTTAAGGGTTCACTTAGGGGTTCTTCGAAGGGTTCCTTGAAGGGTCCCTTTAAGGATTAGGGTGGCGGGTGTCGAGCGGGCCTCATAAGGAGTTCATAGCGGATTTTGGGTTTTGTAAGGGTTTTGTATTGCAGAGTTATATACAGCGCGTATTAGGATTCCAGACGGTTTTCTGGAGTTTTGCAAGGGTTTTATTTTGCAGAGTTACAACGTGTTGAAAGAGTTTAGGGCAACTCCGAAGCGTCGGTGTTCGGTTGGCTTGGGGTAGTCTAGGGACTGAGGCCTGCGAAAGTAGCAGCTCTTTGGTGGCGTCGAAGTCTTGCCTGTCGGTTCTTTGTCTTTTTGGTTAACTTGAGCATGCAGTTCGAGATGTGCTTGTCTACGATTCTCGGGTTCGCTTCATATCTTCGCCGTTGTGTTCTTCCTTACTCTTGCTTCTCTTCGTCACGCTGCTGCTGGTTGTTTCAACCATCCAGGAGTTGGAACTAATCTATATGTGTCGTGGTCAAGATACCTTGTCGCGAAGTTTATACAAAAACAACCTATTCGATTGTTGTGGTCTGTATTTTTATTTACCATAAGAGGCGTTACACAACTAGGGCTCCTCAATTCCCTTGTTGCTGCTCGGACAGCGCTAGCCTGGCGCTGGGATCTAGATAGCAAGTGGTTCGTGATATATTTACTTACTAGCTTAGAGTATGTGATAAGTCCGTACACCCTTCCTACTCGTACTCTAAACTTCTACTTCTACTCCTGCCCCTACTCCTAATCCTAGTCCCACTCCCACTCCTACTGCAGTTATTGCCACAGCAACTGCTACTGCTCCTGCCCTAATCCTACTCCTTTACTTCACGGGTCGGAAGCCTTTCCGAAATGACTAGTCTTGGGCCAGCCTTCCACACTCCACACACGTGGCCCGCGCTAGCAACACTTCAGAGATTTGCAATCGAGAAGTTAAAACATGGAATTCTGTAGTGGTGGCTTTTCTCTTTATTCCACAAAAGACGTCACGCAACTACTGCCGCAGCAATTATATTGAACACCGCCCATATGCGTGGCATCGCGTGGCCTCCCTCTTGCACGGCAAGCCTCAGCGAATTGCATGAATCTTCAATCCTGTCAAGACGAATTGCAGCTGCACCTAAAACTCTGTGGTTACGGGTAAGTATCGTTGTGGCACTTCTACTAGTAGCTCTAAACCCTAAACCCCATAACGCAGTTGCTCCCGAACCTTCTATTTTTGGTTCGGGGAGCTGTCGATACAAACAGCCAACGGAGCCCCAAGCCAGCCCGGGTCCGAAAGTGCCCTGGAACATACTGACGATTTAGGGTCGACTGACTTGGACTTTGGCTTGAGCATTGCGTAAAGGCTTAGGGTTTAAGCTATAACAAAAGCTGCCAGGTGGTCTTGGTACACCGACATGGAGCACGCTTCCCAACCAAGCCCACGGGGAAGGCTTGCAGAGGAGCTCTTTGCCAAGAGCCAACGCAAAGATCTAGATGCCAGGGTTTCTGAAGAGTAGCCATAGCAAGGAGGGTTCTTCGCATGACACATATTCAGGACATATGGAAGTTTCTCTTCAATAAGTGGTATCAGGGTACGGGTTTTGAGTTTGAATTTCAGGAGTTCATGGTTTAGATTTCACGCTACAGGGTTGGAAGGGTTCAGAAAGTAGCAGAACTGCAAAGTCCAATCTAAACAGCAACAAGACCCCGGAAAGCAGCACGAAGCCCTTGGAATGATTCACAACTAGGTTCCTGAGTAGTGCGCTTTCGCAAATGTTATTTCTGGGTCCCCTTGTCAAAACCGAATAGGAAAAAGGTACCCGCATCATAAAAGCGTTACTCAGGAACCTAGATGTACAAGTTCCCGCATTAACCAGCAGTCTAAGGTCCGAAAGCGCCACAAACATAGTTCTCCAATACCCAACCGTTAAACTTTTTGGGTTCTTGTAGTTTCGTAGGAATCGGAAAATCTAACCCTTGATTTTTGTGACTTTTTGGGGTAGTTTGTAAACCCTCTTAAATGTTAACCCCCTTAACCCGTTTAACGCCTTAACCCCCCGACAGCTCTATCGTTGACTGGGAGGCAGACCTGGCCTGGCCCATTCGGACCTCTTTCTGGGAATCGTGGCTCTACACCCGAACCCCAACGGGTTTAGGGTTTGGGGGTTTCAGGGTTTAGTTTCTGGGGTTTCTTTCTTTGGACGAGGCTCGAAGGTCGTAGCATGGTGAACTTTGACTGCACAAACCAAGGCAATGCACTAGATTTAGGAAGTTTTTTGGAGTTCACCCTAAACCCTAAACCCCAACCCCAAAAGCTACTTTGCAAAGTTTTTCGCCTTTAACGGGGCAGCGCAGCCTGTGCGAAAATTGCGCCCCACGATTCGACCCTCTGGCCTCGAGCACGACAAAGCCGGAGTTTCCGAGATTCCGGCCGGAGCTAAACGTGGAAACCTGCCCCCCAGCGGCTTTTGACTTTTGTGAGGCTTCCAAGAATTCCGCGTTGACCATACATGTCGCAAGCCTTGACAGTAAAAGTTAAATAAGGACCCCTGAGCCCTAGGTACGGGAGGCCTGATTTTAAGTCGATCGTGCTGTTTTTCAGCAATGCCCGAGGAAAGCTACAAAGGCCACTTGACTCCGGTTGGAAGCAAGCAGCTGCAGGAGGGAGGGCATGGTGGGGACTGCCTCTAGGCAATAACTTGATTCGATCGTGGAATGCTTAACTCCCCACGACAGAGGATCAGGTCAGTGGTGAGGTAAAAATCAGGGAAGGGTGGGAGCAAGATTGCTTCATTATTAAGGCAAGGTCGAAGTGAGACTGTTGTAAAATGAGGGGAAAATTATGCGAAGTTATTGGTTGAGATCATGGTCTGCAGCCGATGGCTCGTGGACGTATCTACGGTGGGGATATCTGTGTCCGTGGAAGCTAGAATATTCAAATCACTGAGCACTCGGAACCTCCTCAGAGCCTGCCCCAAACCTCGCGGAACCTCCTCAGAACATCCTCGAACCTCTTCAGAACCTTCCCGGAACATCCTCGGAACCTCCTCGGAACCTCCCCGGAACCTCCCCGGAACCTCCACCTCCTCTGAACGGAACCTCCTCGGAACCTCCCCGAACCTCCTCGGAACCTCCTCGGAACCTCCTCGGAACCTCCTCGGAACTTCATCGGGGCCTCCTCGGAACCTCCTCGGAACCTCCCCGGAACCTCCCCGGAACCTCCTCGGAACCTCCTCGGAACCTCCTCGGAACCTCCTCGGAACTTCATCGGGGCCTCCTCGGAACCTCCTCGGAACCTCCCCGGAACCTCCCCGGAACCTCCTCGGAACCTCCTCGGAACCTCCTCGGAACCTCCTCGGAACTTCATCGGAACCTCACTGTTGTCTAACTCTTAAGAAAAGGAATGCAAAAGGCCGTGCATGGTTCGAAGCTCCGAGGAGGTTCCGACGAGGTTCCGAGGAGGTCCCGAGGAGGTTCCGGGGAGGTTGCGGGGAGGTTCCGAGGAGGTTCCGGGGAGGTTCCGGGGAGGTTCCGAGGAGGTTCCGAGGAGGTTCGAGGAGGTTCCGAGGAGGTTCCGAGGAGGATGTCAATATGGACATCCAAGCCCTTCACTTCAACCCTGCCCAGTGTTATGCCCAGACCTTGCCCCTCTAAACCCTGCAAATGATAAGCATTCTACGATGAATTCAAGCAATAACCCTGAAACCCAAGAAGCCCTAATGGGCTAAATCCTGAACTTTGGACAGTTGGCGGGTATATTTTGAGCTTCCGGATGAAAGTCAAAAATGTAGAGACGGAAAACCTGGACAGAGAAGGTTGCCCTACTTGTGTAGAATGATATACGCCGTAAATCCCTTTCCTTACCCATTCCAGGAGATCGGCGACGTGCTACGGCGTCGATACTTTGGCCGAGGTCCTGCCGGAAGCTTAGTGCTGCTTTGATATGTGTGCCAGAGGCGACAAAAGGGCCCGAACAAACTCAGCATGGTACAGAAAACCCCTCCCTGAAATCTTAGTTTGATTTCTGTCATATACGACCTCTTAGGGTTGAAGGTTTAGGGATTCTTAACCCGAAACCTTTCCTAAACCCTAAACCCTAAACCTTTGTTTGTTTTTTGCCTAAACCCTACACCCTGAACCCTAAACCTGTCACCAAGGAGGGAAGCGCTTCCTCGCTCTTCCAGGGTGTTGGGAAGATGGACGGGAGAAGAGACTTGGCCGCGTACTTCGAGGGATTTTTGGTATTCGAATTTAGGGTGCTAGGATTATAGGGTTTAGGGGGTTTTGAGGGTTTTTAAGATTTAGGGTGCTAGGATTCTAGGGCTGTGGGCTTAGGGTTTGGAGTTTATAGGGTTTAGGGTTTCGGCTTTGCGTGCGCTTTGGGCTTGGGGTTTGGAGTTTAGGGTGCTAGGATATGAAGCGTGTGTAACTGGTGTTTCGCGTTTAGGGCTGTAGCTGAAGAGTCCGAGTTTAAAGCGTCTAAACTGGGAACTTAGATCCTGGAACTTTAGTTTTAACTTGTAGCCTAGCCACAACCTAAACTTAGATCCTAAAGCACTAAAGTCCGAAGACCGCCAGAACATCCGAATTCGCCGCCAAACCGTAGAGCAAAATGAAGAGCCCGAAACCCAGTTTTACACTTCATCAGTCCCTGCCTGGGCGTTGCTTGAATGCTTTTTTTGGGGGACCCGTTGCTTAAAAGGAACCGTTACGAGGTAGAAGTCTATATTGTTCTCTATGGTTACTTCAAAGCCCGGCTATTGAGCCAAATCAACCCATCGTTTCAAACCGCCATTAGTTTTTAGTATAAGGCCCCAAACCCTGAACCCTAGAACCCTGAACCCTAGCTATAAAGCCCTAAACGCCAAACCCTTGAAGCGGCCCTTAAAGGAACGCTACGCCCTAAACCCATCGAGACCAAGGCATAGCTCGGAGACTGCCCCCACTAAGTAACAGTGGAATAATATGTATTTTATAGATATATGAGGCCCTGAATAGTACCCTTAATGTTACTGTATGCGGGCAAAAACCCAAGGCATAGCTGTCTACACCTCCAACGTGCAGCGGACATTGCAGAGCGCCTGGGCCTTTCTCCTCGGCTTCGTCCCGGCGGCGGCAGTGTTTCTTGGTTTAGGGCTCAGGATTCCTTGGTTTTCTGACTTCGTTTAGTAGGCTTAAAATGCTGAACAATGACATCATAAAGCCCTACAGTCCTAAAGCCCCCGAACCCCGAAAGTCGTAAACCACCCAACCGAAAAATATCAAGCCCTAAAAGCCAGAAGGAAGCCTCAACAGAAACCCTTCAGCAACCCTTAAAGGGACCCCGGGCCCCTTCAAGGAACCCTTAGAGGAACTAGTATGGCACCAAGAAGCCTGGATGCCCTAAACCACAGTCCCGAAAAGCTTTAAGCCCAAAATCCTAAACCCTGCTTGAAGGCACATGGGACTTAGTAAGTAAGGTTATAAGTAGGTTACAATTAGGATAACCCCACTTAGGGGATTTACAACCCCAATTATGACCTACTTACTAAGCCCCATGATCCTCTAAGTAAGCCCCAATGCCCTGAGTCGGCACCACTAGGTTTTTTGCGTTCCGCTCCGAGCGCGTCTTCTCGGATGCGGCGCGCCGAACTGTTGGCATCCAGGTCTTTGTTATGGCGTTTAGATCGACATTTACACGGTTCTGTCGTGTTTAGTCCTTTTACTGCATTTTTAACGGACGTTTACAGGGCTTGGGTTCTAGAAGGGTTCTGCAGGGTTTTGTAGGTTTTAGAGCTTCACAGAACTTCTATACGAGATTCTGGACTACTTGGTTTCAATGGGAAACCCAGGCATCCCTATCTACATCGAAGATGCTGTCCGCTCGGATGACAAGCTGTTCCATGAGTTGCTTTGCCCGACTTACTTAGACCCGTTCGAAGCCCCATGGCACCCGATAGAACCCTTAAAGAACCCAACAGAAGCGGTAAAGCCTGTTTGGAGCCCTACAGCGCCCCGTTTTACACCCTTTTAAAAAAGACCTGTGTATGAAATGCTGTGAAAAAGCCAACAAATGCCTAAAGTTGCGGGGTCTAGCTACGATTTAGGGTTCATGAAATTCTGGGGGAAGCCACTTCTCTGGCTAATACAGAGGAACGAATAGTTAGAAATCGCATGCCTTAAACCTATAGCCCTTGTAAATGTATACTACAGTTCGGTTTAGGTTTATTTGAAGTTGAAGTAGTATACCCCAAATGGTGTTCTGATGATAAAGGCCCTCATTTTTCTGAGGTGGAAACTGACCAATGGGTACGATGCCTGGCGGGCCAAGAACATCAGACGGTCCCGTTTTCTGCAGGACGCTGCCAAGCAGCCAGAGCATCTTGGCTCAGGGCGAACAGTTTTTGCGTTCCTTGGAGCTTTCCTTAAGGGGTGTCCGGTGTTGGGGTTAGTATTTCTTGAGGGTTTAGGAGTCTAGAGTCTAGGCTTGGGTTTAGGTTGAGGTTGAGGGCCCAAGCTTCACTGTAGAATGTTTTGAACTTGACAGGATATACAACCGGAAGAAACAATTCGTTCTGTTAGGCCTATGACTTGGACTGCTTGGAAAGATCGAAGCAATACTTCCTCAATTGAAGGGTATCGGGCGGGTAGTACACTCTTTGGCTGTGCGCCTGAGGTATCACAAGCTCCTCGACAAGCTGTACGAGTGTAGCAAGGATGAGCGCCTGGCTCCAAAGCAGAGCATGATGGACAGGCTCATTGCTGCGAAAGACTTGGACACACAGGTGCCGAAGTTGCGAAAGGTAAACAATTAAAGTAGCAAGTCTCAGCACTTAGAAAGCAATCTGTTTGGTTACAGAGAACCTTAAACCCTACCGCAAGAAGCTGCTTCCGTGGGAACTCAGCCACTCGATTATTACACAACTCAAAAGTTAGCCTGCATCTTCACCCTTCGCACCTGAACCTTTCAACTCCCGAACACTTCGCAAGCCCGGTGTTTCTGGATGTTATATCTGGGGTTTGCACAAAACTGAGTTACCCGAGGCTCAAGCCTAAGTAGTGGCGTCAAATCCTAAACACAACCCAACCCAAATCTACACACCAACCCTCAACCTAAACCGCTACACCCTAACCCTTAACCCATAAACCCCACAAGTCCCTGAAACCCTACTTGGAGGCTCAGGGGACTTAGTAGGTGGGGTTACAACTTAAGTCAAGTATAGCTATGCCTGCTCATAACCCCAATCACGGTACCTATACCACTTACTAATATAAGTCCCCTGATCCTTTAAGTTGCTAACAAACCACAATTATCGTACCTATACCACTTACTACCCGAATCCTTTAAGTGATGATAAAACAGCCTGTCAGGTTGCCATAGAGGAGGCACACAACCGCCCAGTCCTCGTGAACGAGGGTGGGATTGAAATCGACGAGGCATTTGGGGCTTGGTCTACTGTTAGTATGATGATTATCGTTATTTGTAGTTATCCCCTACTCATTATTCGTTATTCGTGATTAACTAGTGGTTATTGTTGTTATCATACTTGCTCTTGTCATTTTTACTTCTGCTAATTGTTCGTATTACTATTATTGTTTCTTATTCATTGTAATGCAGCTAACAATATAGTCGCTCTGCTTCTTCGTAGTGTTATTCTTAAACTCTTGCTGTTGTTATTGTTATTGTTTCTATATGTTGGGGTTAAGGGTGTATGGTTTTGTGCTTAGAGTTTAGGGTTAAGGGCTTAGGGTTGGCTTGGGGTTCGCATAGGGAGGTTGTGGTGGTCCCACGGTTCCTTCTTTCGTTTGAGCTAGTAGATATGACCTCAGCGCAGGGTATTCCAGGTCTGCTGCAATGATGGTTTGGATGAAGGGTCGGGCAACGTTGTTGCCATTCATTCTATGATTCTATGGGTTGAAAACTGAACTTAGTTCTCCAATACCCAACCTTTAAACTTTTTGGGTTCTTATAGTTTCGGGGGAATCGGAAAGTTTAACACTTTATTTCTGTGGCTTATTGGGGTAGTAAGCTAAACTCACTCCCTAAACCCCTAAAGCCCCTAAAGCCCCTAAACCCTGAACCCCTAAGTCCCTAAAGTAAAGGTGAATGTCAGAGGCTTTGGAGTCAGGCCTTCGAATCAGAGAAGGCTTGGGCTGCCGGATAGGGTCAGGGTTTAGGGTTTAGGGTTTAGGGTTTAGGGTTTAGGGTTTAGGGTTTAGGGTTTAGGGTTTAGGGTTTAGGCACGGCCCCGCTCAGTAATAGTTGAATAATATTCATCATAATTATAGATATGGGAGTTTCCCAGAATAGGGGACCCTAATATGCTACCCTCTATAGTAGGATCCTTATTATAAGGGCCCCAAATAAGGTACCCCTAATTTTCGGAAACTCCCATATACTAGGACCTTAATACTAGCCCTATTATAGACTCTTACTGTATGGGGGCCGTACCCGAGACTCCAATACCCCTTAATTAAGGAATATTCCTTAAATCATATTAGGGATCCTACTATAATTTAAGGTATATTCCTTAATTAAGGGGTGTTGGAGTCTCTGGGTACCTAAGTCAGACATATCCTGGTGGGATTAAGGTGTCTTTTTGGAGGGATCAGCTTTCGGCCGCAGTAGAGAACCCTCCATACTGGAATCTGAGCCCCACACACTGCCAACCACAAAACTCAGGCATTGTTCCCTAAGTCTCTAAGGACTCATATTTTAAGGCTTTTGGGCCCAAAGACCATATTATATAAGGCGTTTGTGCCATTTTGAGCCTTAGGGGTTAGAGCTTCTAACCGCCGACCCCCTCAAGGCGAAATCGAATATAACTTAGAAGCTGCCCCACCCTGTAATAATTTTATAATAGGAATATAATAGGGCCCTAATATAATCCTATATAATCCTTATGGTCACTATTACAGGGTGGGGGCCCCTTCTAAAATATAACCCTCAGAGCCGGCATCCGCCGAGCCCGAAGCATCTCAGGGATGAGTTGAGTCAGGGACCCATAAAGGCACATAAGCATAAGCATTTTATAGGGATATCCCGACCTTATTGGGCTTCATTATAAGGGGATTTCTGTGGGATATCCCTATCCTAGCTTTTGCTTATGTGCTTTTTTGGGGCCCTATTGAGGCCTGGCGTTTAGGATTCCGGTCCAGTGTAGGCTTTAGGTTTAGAGTATGGGGTCGCTTGTTTAAAGTCTTTGAAAAGTACTAGTAGGTAAGATCCTCTTAAGCCCAATAAGGGCAAATGTGAGATGTCCCAAAGCCCTACCTAGGATAGTTGTGTTCGAGGTAAACCGTGCTGGCTTTTTTCAGGTGTCTTGCTCGGCAGTCGATGTGGGTAGTTGTCAAAATTAGGGCCCCCTTTTGGGTGCCCTAAATATTAGGTGCCGTACGAAAAGAGGGACCAAAAAAGGGACCCTAATTTTAACAACCACCCATGTGGGCAGGGGATTGTAAGCCCTTCCCCTGCTGTTTTGGATGCCATGCTGAAGGGTTTCGGGTTCAAACCTGGGCTCGAGTTTCCGACCCGCAGTCACAGACTCTACCCAAAGACTCCAATATCCCTTAATTAAGGAATATTCCTTAAATTATAGTAGGATCCCTAGTAGGATTTAAGGAATATTCCTTATAATTAAGGATATTGGATTCTCTGGGTAAGCTCAAAAATTGTGCATGCTTTAGGGTAGCCTGTGCTTAACTCTGAAGCTGGAGGAAGATCGCTCCTTGCTGAAATCCATCGGCGACGAGGTCAAACGCCGCTGGTACGGTGCCGCTTCTGAGCTGAATCAGGGATCTTTGGGTGTAGGCTTCGGGTTTACTGTTGAAGGTTTATGGTTGAAGTTGCTCACCGGGCTCGGTATTTGGGGTTCAGGCAAGCTCTAATTATCCAATCAATCCTGAATGCACCGGAGCTTCAACCCAACTGCTGATGCTACCCCTAAACCCTAAAGCCTAAACCCTAAACCCCAAACCCTAAATCCTAAACCCCAAACCCTAAACCCTAAAACCCTAAACCCTAAGCAAGGCTTCGGGCTCGGTGGAGGACTCCTATGGCAAGAAAGGCGCAGGACGGGACAGCTCCACCCAAAGCCCCCGCAGTCCAGAAAATGAGAGTTTCCGAATAGTAGCCTGAATAGTAGGATCCCTATTATAAGGACCCCAAAATAAGGTACCCATAATTTTCGGAAACTCCCATATGAGTGGCTGAATGAGCGCACTTCATGCTTTTGGGGAGCACATTATCCCATATGGAACTGAAAGTGTACACTTCTGGGGCTTGTGAACTCGGCCAGGAAAGAACAAGGCTTCGGACTTTCAGTGGGTCGGGGGGTTCAAGCGCTTTAGGCAGTACCTTAGGGTTTAATTTAGGATTTAGGGGATATGCATCAGGAGTCAAGGCATGTGAAGATTTGGCGCTTAACCATGCAAGGCTTGAGATGTGCGAAGATACCGCGGATCGATGAAAGTTACTTTCGGAAGGCTTTCGTGCCCCTTATTCACGGGGGCAGGTTTGGATTTCGAGCGCGGCCGAAAGGTTAAGGGTTTAGGGTAGAAGGCCCTGTCTGCAGGATACCTGGCGCACAAGATCTGTCGGCACATGCAGCAGAGAGCGTCGAGTAAATCGCAGCTGCGCTTCGTTCAGCAACTGGGCTGTGAGATTGGCTCTTTGGATGGGTGTGATTTGGGACGTTTGGGTTCAGGGCGTAGGGTTTCGGTGGAGCCATGTTTTGGAATTTCGGCTATCAGCTTATCAGCGGCGGCAGGTATGTGTCGAGGCTCTGAGAAATTGTGCTAGCCCATTCCTGAAATGTCGTGATATTTTTCAAGGAACGAAGGTTATGGGATGTTCCATGGCCGCCAAGTAAAGCCGAGTTCAACCTAGGAATGAAAGGGGCGCTCTTTTTGGTTTAAAGGGGGTTATAGGGGAACCTAAACCCCAAAAAAGGGAACAGGGGCCTACTCCGGGTTCTAGCGCAACCCTAAAACCTCAAATTCCTCATCCCGGAATGTTGTGAAGAACCTCAAACCCCGAATTCGGGCGCCCAAACGATTGGTGGTTGCCTTAGGGGTCCGTAGATTAGCATCTAGTATAGAACCCCAAGAAGCCCTAATCGAAATTCTCAAACCTTTGTACCAAGCCTCGTAACTCTCAAACCCAAACCCTAAACTTTAAACCCTAAACCCTAAACCGGGCCGTAAACCCTACTTCAAGACCCGAGTTGAGGATGGCCTTTGAGGAACACGGGCAAAAAATCTTGAAAGCCGCTGCAAGCCTTCATGATGTCCTTCCACGACACCAACCTAATTAAGTCTTGAGGATCTTCAAGACCTTACAAGCTACTTGAAGATCCGCACGGGTTCCCCTTAAGGAGGTTTAGAGCTTCGAGGATGTCCTGCCACGACGCCAACCCTACTTAAATCTTGAGAACCTTCACTCTAAACCCTAAACCCCTAAACCCCTAGAGCCCTAAACCCCTAAACCCAAAACCCCTAAAACCCTAAACCCTAAATCGTTGAGGATGTCCTGCCACGACACGACCCTGGCTGCCCTGGCGGCACACATGGGCCTGGAGCTTCCAACGATCGGCTTCGGTGCCTTCCTTCTCCTCGAGCTCCATGCCACAAAGGCCGACAAGATGGCTTTGGATTTGGGGTGTATGGGGGAGATGGGTTCTACAGGAATTGACAAGGATTCTGCAGGGTGTTTTCGGGATTTGAGACTGCCATCTAGTGCAGTGCTTATGCCTAGCTGATATCATGTGTTTCGACACTACTGAAACAGTGCTCCATGCCATCAAACCATTTAGCTTGCCTCTGCAAGGAGAAAGCCGCAGAAGAAAGAACCTTTCGCAAATTCATCCGATCAAGACCTGTGATGTTAAGCCCGTAAAGTCACAATAGGCCCTTCTTGCAAAGCCCTACATTTGAGCCAGTTGCTCAGAATGCTTGCCGAAGGTCTGCGACAGTCCTGCAGAAATAATCGCACTGTGCATCAGAAACACCCCCAGCCCAGCCCTAACCTTAAACCATAAGTCCCTACTGATTCAGACCCTTGTCCCTAAACCCTGAAGCCAAGACCCTGAACCCTAAACCTTAAATCCCAGACAGGAGGGGCACTTCGTTAAGATTTACTTCAACTCCACTCCATGCGCTGGAGACGAGTCCTATGCGAACCTGAGGCCTTTGAATGTATACATCCTAAGTACAATGAGACGTAAACCGTGGTGGCCTGGTTTGGGGTTCTATTATGGGTTCCTGTGAAGGTTCTATGAAGGGTTTATCAGAATTATAAGCATGAGGTTTTGATTTAAGGGTTAGGCTTTATTGAATTAGGGTTCAGAACCTTACCTTAACGCATGTCCGGAAGGGTTCGAAATGGAGTTCTTACAGGGCTATGGTGGGTCTTATCGGACGTTATGAAGGCTTCGGCTCGAAGGGTAGAGGCCGTAGTGAGGCTAGGTAGGGCTTTGGGACATTTTATATTTTCCCTTATTGGGCTTAAGAGGATCTTATTTACTAATATTTTTGAAAGGCTTTAACGGGGAGGGCTTCGGTTTCTGTTGTAAGAATTTCTGCAGCAGAGCTTGGGTCGGGGTCCAGAATTATTTTTGTCATTTATTTGTCATTTTTTTGTCATTTGCCTCTGTCGTTTTCTTGTCATTCGTTTTGTCATTTTTTGTCATTCTGAATTTGGCGAAACAATAAGACACTGTAGTCGTGGTCAGGCACGGGGAGATCTTCGATTTGTTCGTCCACGGCTGTCTGACGGGGTTCTGGCTCACGTCCACAAAGACCCCACATGGGCGATGGCGGCCAACTCGACAACTTCAAGTGGTCGAGGAAGCATGCGCAAGCCTAGGAAATGTCGTTGCTTCCTTGTCCACGGCTTGTAATCCATGGCACAGCCCATGCGATTCCGAAGGTCCACGGCCTGCGACTTCCACGCAGGGACACGTGCCATTCTCGGAGAGGACTCTGGTGACGCCTGCGTGCAGGCATGGGTGTGGCGGGCGAGACCCGGAATGGATAGTCAATGACAGGGGTCTGGGGCGAGGAGACCCGGAATGACTGGAAAATGACAGGGGTCTGGGGCAGGGACAAGAAAAGGACTGGAAAATGACTGGAAAATGACTCCAAAATGACTGGAAAATGACTGGAAAATGATTCCAAAATGCCTCCAAAATGATTCCAAAATGACTGGAAAATGACTGATGCCTCAAGGAATCCTGCCTTTTCCCTGCCGACCATCCCCTCCCTCCCCCCCACCCTCCCCCCTCCCCACCCTGCCCCCTCCCCTCCCCCCCTCCGCCCCTCCCCCCACCCCCAGCCCCAGCCCCAGCCAGCCATGCATCGGCCACAAGCGTGCAAGCTTTCCTGTCGCCTCGTAGGTGGGTGCTTGCATCTACCCCAGCCCTGTTACTTTACATTATTATGTGTCTTGAAACGCCAAACCTTCGAAAGGCCATCGCTCCAGGAGCTCTTGCAGTGGACCGTGATTCAGAGCACGGCCTCAGTCCCATCAACATGAATCATAAACAGTGTCCTGCTGCAGGCAGAAACACACAATGGGCAACTGTACACAGGACGGTGTAACAACCCGAAAGAACCATACAAAGCAGCTAGGTAAGAAAGCAAAAAACAATGACAAATAAATGACAAAGAAATGACAACCCGCAAAACAGCAATTAAGGGAAATGACAAAAAAATGACACCAAAATGACAAACAGCGAAAACAGCAAATGACAACAAAATGACAAATAAATGCCAAAATAATTATTTAATGAAATCCAAGGTCTAGAGGCCCGAAATTCTTACAAGGTTTCTGCGTGTCTTATTTTAGAGTCAGTCCTTGGGGTCCCAAAATCCTAAAGGCTTTAGGGTTTAGGGATTTTAGGGTCAGTTCTTGGGTCCCAGAATCCTAAAGGGTTTAGGGTTTAGGTTTAGGGATTAGGGTTTAGGGATTTTAGGGTCAGTCCTGGGGTCCGACAATCCTAAACCCCTAAAACCTAGACCTATAAACCCATGCAGCGAATTGGCAGAGTTGTGGTCTGGGCTTTGAATCTTCGGCCCTTGACAACTTGAGTGAGGGAGCTGGGAGCAGTTTAGCTGCTGCCGGTGATCTTACTGTCACGGTGGAGACGTGTTATATAGCTTTTTCGGTCCGGATCTGGCTTCACAAGGATAGTTGGCTCTAGACTCTAGACCAACAAGTTGCCGATTTGTAAGCGTGCGGTGTTCAGCGCCTAAACCAGATAGTCCCGAACCGCAAAAAGCCTAAGACATGAAGTTCGCAGGGCAGAGAGGATGAGAGAATCTAGGGACTGCCATTTGCGCTGATCTCCGGACTATGATAGGTCCACTCTCCTGCTCCCCCTTAAGCGCCAGTAAATAAAGCCCAGAAGAGCAGCCGTCAGGCCGTTGTTGCTGCCCTTGGGGGAGGACCACTTCTTCATTGCAGGGGTTGTTGGACATGGGAGATGCTTAAAGGGTCTTACACTTGCAAACCGTAGATGCTAAATCATGTGGCAACAGAAGCCTTACTGCATAGTGAGCTGCAGTGATTCTTGCGGCAGTGAGGCTTTGTTATGGAGCAAAAAGCGCTGCACTCGTCTTGTGTTTCTTATGGTTGTCTGTTGCTGAAAGTGGTGTAAATTACAATAGGGGCCCAAAAAAGCACATAAGCAAGAATTCGGATAGGGATATCCCATATAAACCCCTTTATAATGAAGGCCAATAAGGTAGGGATATCCCTAATAAAATGCTTATGCTTATGTGCCTTTTTGGGTCCCTATACAACGTCGGAACCTCCGAAGCTCTCCTTGGACCTCCACGAGCTGCATGCGACCAGTCTTTCGCCTGACCCTTCACAGATTTTTCGGATGCTTGCCCAGAGAGCCCAATACCCCTTAATTAAGGAATATAGCTTCAACTATAGTAGGATCCTTAATATGATTTAAGGAGTATGCCTTAATTAAGGGATATTGGGCTCTCTGGGTGATGTTCTTCTGATTCTGTTATCAGAGATCAACCACTACCCAAAAGCAGCGAAAAAACTCTATAGCAAGCGAGGAGAAGCTGGTCCGCACCGACCGCTGCCGTCATGGAAGCATTCCACTGAAGGCGCTCTTCCTGCACGGCGCCTTGGCCGACCTTGAAGGTAGAGTTTCGGGTTTGGGGCCTAGTTGCGGCCTAGTTCACTAGTACCAAGATCTTTACAGGGTTGAGGGTTGGGGGGTTAGAGTTTCGGCCTTCTGCGGTTCTGGATTTAGGCTGAGGGTTCAGGGGTCATGGTTGAGGGTTTAGAGTTTAGTTTGGACAAGGCATAACAGCACCTTTCCTTGACAAGACGTTTTCGTTTCAGACGTCGCCCCTAAGCCACCGATGTGGTTTATGAAGCCCTAGAACCCCCAAGTCCCGAAATTCTTGAGCCCCACACAACCTCAATAAAATCAAAGACACCCCAGACCCGAAACCCTAAGCTCGAAACCCTCAGCCCTGAACCCTAAACCCAAACTAAGGGGACATTCCGCTCATCGAAGAGACCTTCCAGTCCTTCATGGACCTCTGCAATGCTGCCGCGGCGCAGCCGACGCGTCAGAAGTTTAGCGAGCTCTTCGCAGAAGGCAAGGCGGCCAGAATTTGGGGTTTGGGGTTACGGAGGAGTTTGGCGAGCACTGCATTTTAGATTGGGTTTGTACAGTTTAGTGTTCAGGTGGCGTTTACGATTTAACGCTGGGGTTGAGGGTTTGGGGTTCAGGGCCTTAGGTTTTTCAGGTTTGGTATAGGTTGGGGGTTTAGAGTTGTAGCTTTGAGGATGTGGCCTTCTAGGGCGTTGTCTTTAAAGGCTATAACATGTTGCATTCCAATTATAATACTTTCTGTGATTTGTTCGACGCTTTTCCTGAAATCCAAAAACCCATAGATTGTTATGCCTGTGGAGTTATTAGGTCATGGTAAAATCCTTGTATAAATCCCACAAGCCTAAACTTGAAACCCTTGTGGAACCCTGACGAGACACCAGCATTTGCAGCATCAAATGAGTCGGGCCATAGAAGATGTACAGCTGCCCAAACCGCCACAAAAACTGCCTCCATAGGCCTCATCAGAATCGTAGCAGTAGCAACAACAGCACTCAAAATAGTGATACTAGAGAAAGAAGATAAATGGTAATGGCATTCATGACAGCGATAATAGTAGAAAGTAAGACTGGCCTTGGTTGTGGCTCTCAGCCCGGCCTTTTGGGATTGGACAGACCACAGAAGCGTGTGCACTCCATACCATTCTTATTTTTAAGGCCCGGCCCTTATATTAGGGCGGTTCAGGTGCCTGCTCGTGAAGTTGTTTGACAAGGGCTTGGGATACGGCTGTTTGTGCACATAGGTTGCGTGGCTTGACGTCCTTCGAAGTGTGCCGTCAGTGTTCTTGTCTTGGGCATGTTTAGTGAGTTTAGTGCCATTTTTGCACGAGGATGAGGTTTCAATAGGACTTCAAGAACTGAAAAGTTGGAGGGGTTCAGGACTTAGGGCTTTGTTGTTGTATAGTTCGAGGGTAAAATCTATCGGCAATTCATCCCGTCGCCCATGATGAAGTAGTGGAGCTGTAAAGACTTGGCATCCCAGAGCTACATAGTCGTAGAGTATATAGGTAACCTTTAACCTTTTTAGGGTACTGTAACCCTTATAGAAGTCCCAAAAGTTAATCTCTAGTTCCCCTAGGATACTGGACAAGTCAGAATGTTGTCTTGCAATTCTAGCAATCTCGAACTCGAACTTTAGACACGCATCACGTATCGTCAGAGAGGTGGATACAAGTGGCCACAAGGTGACATGCCCGCATCAACATTCCTCTAACTTCCTTCCCCCACGATCCTTAATTGAGGTCTGTCGAAGTTTCTGTGCACTTTACAGCAAACCTGTCTTGGAGGCCGCCATCAGTGGATGTCCCTCGCTCAGTGGCGCGATCGCTATGCCCAGGCTGGTTATGGGCCGGGGGATTGGGCAGTGGATGTAAGAACTGCTTTTGGGTAGGTTTAGCTTTACTCAGAAGCTCAACGCGGTAGTGATAGGCAGGTATAAAGGTGCGCCCCATGAATTAATATTAAGGCTGGATTAATCCCTCCAAAGCCCGAGACCCTACAACCTAAGCCTTCTGGTAGTCTTAACCCTGTTCGCAGAGCTGGCAAATTGTCGCATACAGACGAGCACTGCACTTTAATACTCCCTGAAACCCGTAACCCTCAGCCACAAAACAAAAAGCCCTCCATATCCATAAACCTTAAGCCCTAAACCCCAAACCCCAAAAGCCAAAACCCTGAAACCGGACAAAAATGCCAACCTTGAGCACGGAAGCCCCAAGGCGCAGACCCAGCCAGTCCCAGGCCTTTCAGTTCTTCGACACTGACAACGATGGCCAACTCTCCAGAGAGGCGCGCTTTAGGGATTAGGAGTTAGGATGCAGAGCTCCGGGTCGAGGGATGTAGGGTTTAGGGCTTTAAGGTGGCTGCGAGGTGTAAGGTTTAGGATCTTACAAAGTTTGGAGATGAGTGTTCTAAGGTTTAGGCTTTAGTTGTTGTTGCTGTGTTGAGATTCTTTGGTTTGAACCGGGTATTCTAAGCAAGGTGTGGAGATGTTTACCGGCTTGTCTGCTCTCTTTAGATATTTGTGGCTTAGAGTTTACGATCCCGAATATGTGGTCCTGCAAACAAGGTACCTTAATTGTAACAGCTCTACATGTCTAGTGAGCTTTCCCAATATGGACCGAAGCCCTCTTTTGGACATTCTGGCTCCCATCTTAGGCCCATATAGTAACAATGATAGTAGCCCTGATGGACCCCACTGAACAAGGCCCTGATACCAAACCCTGAGCAGCCACCAAAGCACAGCTTGGCAAAGACAGGAGGTGCTTGGGGCCCTTGCCGAATGGGGCTACAGCGTATCCAAGGACAGACGATGGGTTTAGTTCGGGGTTAGGGTTTAGGATTCGGGTTTCGGATTTAAAATTTTGCGCCCAGGTTTGGGTTTTTAGGTGAGTGGGCGAAGGGGTTCCGACGGAGCAGATGCCTTCCTTAA